CGGTTGTGGATGTTGTACTTTGTAGAGTGGCGACCACAGGAACAGTTGACGACGTCAAATTTGCGGTCGCTGACGATGTGTGGCATCGCTCTGGGCATGACTTACGTACTTCCAGTTTCCGCTTGGAAATGCAGGGTCGTCATGTGCCTTTCAGCACGAACCTCAGCGATCTACCGCTGCACCTTGGAGCGTGTGTGCACTTCGTTGTTCAACTCAACCATTGACAGGCCGCTCACTTAGGTGGAACCTCTGAGTGCAGCAGAGAACTCTGCTCTTAGCACTTTGTGTAGTGTTTCACGGGGGAGATTTCGTTTCTCACACACCTGCAGAGGACAGATCTCGGATGGAAGCAGACATGGCAAATCCCCTTCCTTGGAAAAGGTGCCAGTGCTTAAGCTTCAGTCTTGTTAGCGTGAGGGTGCATGTCATTGCAGTCTGTGCATGGAATTGCATTGCTGTGCATGGAACACCAATGAATGAGCATAGCATCAATGGATTGTCCTGTACTTTCAGCCAGGAAATGTTTTCATACATTTGAAACATTTTTGTTTGGAAAATAATAATTGACAATTTTTAGGGAGATATATTCCAGTCTGAGCGATAGATTGAGATGAGTTTTTGTCCAAGTGGATTTTAGATATGTTTGGGATTTGAGATACACTAAACCAGGAAACCCCCGGTCCCAGAAAGAGTACCTGAGCGAAGTGTTTGCCTACAGAGACGCAGTAGGAAACAATTTTCACCAAGTGCAGGGACTCCGAAATGGAGTGCACTACGAGGCCATCACGCAATACCAGATGAGCCCAACGACAAGTTGTACTAGGAAGTGAAGAACCTGCGAGTGTACAGGTGATGTTGAGCTTGCAGTTCGCACAACATCCAGGCGGGGTTTAAAGTTTTTCTACTACCTGGGAACCGAGCTTTTCAGCGCATGGCCGAAGGTAGAAATCTTCTAAACACTTTGATAGCATGGGTGTACCGTCATCTGCTTCCAGTCGCAAACAGCTGAGCATATTTCAGGTTTGAATAGTTGCGGTGCGCATGAAAAAGATTGTTGGCTTCGATGCTAGCTTGCCTGCCGTTCTGCTAAACATCCACTTTTGGTCCGAAAAGGCGCTGAACGGTAACGCTCAATCATCAAGCCTTCAGGGGCCTGAGAAGCCCCATCGGGGTTCCTAGGGCCTTAGGAGTCCGCAGAAACCGGGAGAGCCCTTTTGATGAAAGTCAGACCCCTCAGCCCTGAACCCCTAAATAGAAAGTAGAACCCTCACCCCCCCGCCAATCTTGTATTTCAGGATTGGGCTCAATCATCCTGATCCCTACACCATTTTGAACCCGCCACCCGCCCCCCCCTCCCCCCCAAGCTTTCCTGAGCAATCAGGATTCCGCGACAGCCCCGCGACACACTTATGAAACAGCTGGGCGCGACGTACGTATGCAACAGCGGGGGTGGGTCGGGGGACACTGCAACATAACGGGGTTTTGTTGATGATTTAGTATGAGTCCAAGCCACAGATAGCCACTACCGATCCGCTTTGCAGTTTGGCTTCAAAGAACAATATATTCGCTTGAGGCAGCATCGACTGACATTTCCTCAATTGAGGTTTCCCATGTCCCGTTCATGCGCACTCGCGGCCGATGACCATATAAAGCTAAGCATTGAAGCATCGAAACATGCAGCCTCCAACATGCATGCACATGGCAGCCGGCGTCCATGGCTACCAAGGCTTTGTGCAGGAATAATACCCGGCTTTAGAGTTCCGAGTTTGGAGTTCGGGTTTAGGGTTTGGGGTTTTGCATTCAAAGTTTGGGAGTTTGGGCTGGTGGTTTCAGCTTCTTTTGTCTATTTTTGTGGGGTTGCCAGGTTCTGGTTCTGTCCGTGTAAAGGACCTACTAGGTAGGCCCTTAAATTTTTTTAATACTTTCCCTTATTAGGTTTAAAAGGACCCTATTGAAGAATATTTTTCACAGGGCTTTTAGGGCCAGCCTAGCCTGTGCCTTTGGGCATCAAGTTTAAGACTCGGGGAGAACCCCATCTCTTTTCATTTGCCTGGCGTGGGCGCTGTGCAACCCAATGCATCCGCAGCTCCGACTCAAACCCAAGTTTGTTTTCTTTGCAACCGGGTCCACCTATTCTCCGTGATGCTACGGGGATGGCGAGCCGTGCTCACGAACCTCATCCTGGCCGTGGTTGCTGGAGGGGATGAGAGCAACCATAGTAACTAGACGGTTTTGGGATACGGCCTTTGTGTGTGTGTATTTGAGGGGCCTTAATGAGACAAGCGTGTGCTTTCAAGAACCGCTGAGGCAATCACACTAGCCACAGCTCCTGGAAAGTACCCGTGCCACATCCGGAGCCCCAGTTCTGGCGCCGTGTGAGGCCCTACGGACCAGCGCTCAACGCCACCCTGGTGTGGCAAGGCTTTGGCACCCCCCATCCCATCGTATGCGAACCGCAGGTGATGTGGACGCCACCTCCACCCTGGCATTCGAGGGAGACAGAGAAGGATGAAAAGGGAGATTTGGAGGGCGAGTATCGACTCTACTTCCGGGCCGGGGGTTGGTTTACCACGCCCCAGGTCATAGGGGTCGTCTTCTCTTCCGACCCCTTGCGGGAGGGCTGGAGCTACCGAAGCAAGTATTGGGAGACAGGTGCCCGGGATCCCTTTATGCCGATCTCAGGAGCCGGATATGGAGGTACATCCTATGACGAAATCCAAGTGCAGCCTTGGATCTTTTACCAAACCGGCAGGCAACGTCGCCGCCAGAATACTCCGGACATGCCGACGATTGCCGACAGAGATGGAGGGGTCTGGTGGCTTTATGCTGGCATCCACGCAGGCCCAGAAGGCAGCTTGGTACTGCTGTCAGAAGAAGCTGTCGAGTTATAAAACTCAGGACTTCTAAGACCTTAAGACGCTTAAACCCTGAGCCGTTTTTCTTCGGGCCGTAGGGATTTAAACACACTTTCTACCAAGAACAAGAGATAGAACCTTAAACCTACGAAGCCAGAAGCCTGATATATGCGCAGCCCGCACTCCGACCGAGAAGTCCACAATCAGACCTCCGTCTCTCTCAGCGTGGATGGTCTGCACTGGCAGTTAGTCCGACGCCAGTCGGTGCCGCTTGCGGGCAACTTGTCTGCTGCCACGCCCAAGGCCCAGAAACCAAAAGCCCGAACTTGTTCAGTTTGTTTTCGGTGTGTGTGTGTGGGCTAAAAGAGTGAGTGAGAGGGAGAGAGAGAGAGAGAGAGAGAGAGAGAGAGAGAGAGTGTGTGGGTGTCAGGATGGGGTTGGGGTTCTTGAAGGTGTGTTTCAACTGTACTACATTCCTTCTGGCAGCAAGGTTGTTGAGGTGTTGAGGTTCCTTGGGACCGTTAATTTAGGGTTTCAGGTTTAGGGTTTAAGTTTTCTTGGGGTGGAAGGTGTGTTTGTTCTAGGGCTTCGTGCTTGCCCTAGTCTTGCCCTAAATCTTAAGCCCTAATGCTTAAGCATGAAGCTTCATAAGGCCCAAACCTACACTCCTACCCTAATCCCCCTAAAAGCACGGAGTCCTAAACTCTAGAAGCCCCAAGCCCCAAACCCGAGGCAACTGCACAATGTTCGGCAACAGAGTCATCTGGATTGAGGAGGAGGCCGAGCGAATCGTCTTCCACCTGCTGCAAGAGCAGCTTTGCGGATGCCCGGCCGAAGCAACAGGATTTTAGCCTCGTGTTAGGGTGTAGGGTTATCGGACATCAGCTATTCCCGAACCCGACACCCTTTGCCCTAAATCCCGCAACCCTAAACACAAAGGCCCATGGAAAATCTACCACTACACCAGTAGCGATGGGCTGTCCGACTGGTCCGTCGCATCAACCGGCCCGGCTCCTTCTCTCACCTTGGTGTTTCCCAAAATTGGGGTACAAAAGGGCGGGCTCACTACAGAGGAGATTATACTCCATTTACGGTATATCCCATGGCACCCCTCTTTTGGGAAATGCACAACTCGGCCTTTGCATTTTTTCCCACATGCTTCTTAGTAGGGCTTATTTAGGCATACTCTCCTTTCAGCACATACATGCCCCAAGCGTCCCCGATCATCTTCGCAGGTTCCAGGTCTTGAGCGCGTCCCGAATGGGATGTTTGGAGGCCCTAGCATGCCTGTGCATCCACAGTTCCTCGGCCCTGGACTTCGTCGCCCATTCGGTCTGCCAGTTCCTGCGCCTTTCGATGCCTCCGGCGCGCGCCACCTTTGGTTCCATGCGGCCGCCCTAGGGGGGAACTTGCCTACGGACGTCTACCACGCTGTGCCGCTGGGGCTAGCGGGCAGGGGATTTAGGGGGTTGATGAGGGGTTCAGGTCGCGCCGGGTATAGCGTTTAATGGTTCTGAGTTGCTTGCGAGGTTGCTGGAGGTTTTCTGCGTTCCTGATCCCATAAGCATGGCAGCCCGGCGAAATTTATCTGCCTTTAGCCGGTGGCCAGCTGTTTGAAAGCCCATTTCCCGGTCCATCTAATGCCATGCCTCCGAACTTTTGAGCTCTCAACCCTGAAGTCCTCCAATCCTCAAGCTGCTCAGCTTGGACCTCTGAACCCTGCCTCAAGAGTCCCCAGGCCAGTAAGCCCCTGAACTGAGGTCGCCAGGCTCAGCCAGTGGCCCATGGACAGTGCTCCACGTCGACAACAAGACGAACCCACTGGGAGCGGAGCTCGAGCACCGTGGCGCGTATCTGAATGACACAGAGAGATGGACAACGTGGGAGCCGCTGGGGTGCGACATGTTTTGCTTTGGGGTTCTTGGGGTTTGCCTCCACTTCCCCGGCACATGTTATTAGCCATGAAATACCCCATGCACAGTGCAGCCTTCAGCGGATTTTCACCTTATTGGTGATCTATGAACTTCCCCATGGAAATTCATGTTGCAGGCGTTCTGGTTAAGTTATCACAAATCTTCATATGATAAACAACGTGGCTTCCTCTGGCAATTACTTCAGACTTGCGAAACGGCAGCCCAGTAAAAGGTATGATCAAGTGTCCGACCCCAGCTTCACCTACTACGTGCAAGACTACTTGCTACCTCCCGCCGCCCGCCGGGCACTGTTGCTTCTGGGCCAAAAATGCGGGTTTAGGTTCTGGGTTTAGGGTTCAGGGCCCTCATCCCTCTTTGCGGGGGGTTTGGGAGTGGAAGGCTCTGGATTCGGGCGGTTCGTGGTTTCAGGTGTTGGGTGTTGTTGTTCGGGGCTTTCTCTCCAAACTTGGGGGGTTCCTTGAATACGAACTATACTAGTTGAGGGTTTGTATTCAGTGGGCCCCCTATGTGAGTGGTTGTCAAAATTATGGTCCCTTTTTGGATCCCTATTAGTACGGCACCTAACATTCAGTGTACCCCAAAAAGGGATCATAATTTGAGAACCACCCATGTTGGGAAATGCACCCACATCGCTGAGGTTCTATGACGGGGGCAACAACGCGAACGGCACGGGAAACATTGGCATGGCTGTGGGCTGGGCGGAGGAGATGTTTCCCGGAGGTCTTGCATCAAGTCAGAGGCAGGAGCCCTAGGACTTGTGGGTTTAGGGTTTCGGGGGGAGCAGGAGGGTTGGAGGGTTTAGGGGCTGAGCAGTTTACGGTCTATTGCGTTCCTTGATGGCTCCTTGAAGCAATCTTAAAGTGAGGTTAGGGCTTCAGCCCCTAAGGACACGAGACCATCCAATGATCCCCAGTCTTGAGGGATCCAACAGATTGCAGGGGGTTGAGTTTTTAGGGTACGAAGAGGATTGAGGGATATCCAAAGACAACCCACAACCCATAGCCAACTAACCAGAGAACAGCCCTGAACACACTGGCCTAAGCCGACTAACGCCGCAAAACCCACCACCAATCCCTTCTCAACGCAGGTGGACCCTTTCTCATTCTTGAGCCAAACGTGCACAGTGCACGGTCCCGTCCATCAGGGTTTGTGCCTTCGCATAGGGTTCAAGGTCTAGGGGCACCTAACAGCTCTAAGCCCCAAGCTTTGCAGGCCATCTTCGAACTTTGACTCCACTCCCATCGCGATCGTTTGAAGCCTTGGGAAATCCCGAGATGGTGTTCCCTTGCATCGCTTGTGCCTGCCTCTGCCAGCAAGCAAGCCTTGGGCTTCATTGTTCTTGATACGTGTTGTTTCGTGTTTGTAAAATTATTCACATGCTAGCATTTTCTGTTTTCTCAATATGATTATTTCTATCACCAGTATCGATGCTGTTGCCATTGTCATTGCCATTTCATTTTCATTGTCATTGTTTGTGTTAGTACCACTATCGTTTAGTTGTTGTTGCCATTATTGTTGTTTTTCTATCATTATCTTGGTTTGTGTTATCATCCCCATTTGATGCAGCAGCAGCTGCACGGAGAAATGGCCAGCTCCATGCCAAAGAGAACGCCGCCGCAAAAAAAATAGGGCTGTGGGTCATTTTTTTTGAGGATGGTGGTGATGATGATGATGCTGATGCTGATTCTGATGCTGATGGTGATGGGAGATGATGATGATGATGATGATGATGATGATGATGATGATGATGATGATGATGATGATGATGCGCTGCTGATGAAGATGCTGCTGCCGACGGTTGTTGTTATGATTGGTATGTTTTGCTTTACAGGTGGTTAGCAGAGTTTATGGCTTTCGGGGCTAGAGGGACCTGACTCTGGAGTCCACAACTCAAAGCTCAAAGAACCCCAGGGGTTGTACCAAGTCCTAACGCATGCAACACTTACTCGCTTAAGTGAAGGACCGTGACAGCCGCGCCAGACCCGGAAAGAACTTTCACAAACATCACCCCCCCCCCCCCCCCCCCCCCCCCCACACAATGAACCGGAAACCCCTAGTGCAAGGGCACGGGGGAATCAAGGTGGAAGGAGACTGGGGGCTCCAGGGATTAGGGTTTAATAGGGCACAGGGATGAGGGATTAGTACAGTATGGCTGGACGTTGGTGTTGGGTGGAGGTTTGGCGTCAGTGAGTAGGTAAAGGCCTGATGTCTACTCGTCCAGCACTTTATAGGCTATGGTAAATAAAAAACAAGGTGTTCTAAAAGTCTACTCGCTGCGCTGTACATGGCATAGTCAGCAGAACCAAATCATGACACGATCACGATGCAACGGGGGCATATGACATGACAAAAGGCTACGCAGCATGATAGCAGAAATGATGAGTGCGATGAAGTAAAGAATCATTCAACTCTCGTGGTTGAAAGAATGCCACCTGCCAGGGCACCATGGAAGCCAAGCAAGCAACGTGAGAATCTAAAGGTGATGGACACAGAGTTTTTGGGAGTGGAGGCAGGGGTAAAGGCATTTTGAGCTCTCGAACATCGAGTCGAAGTCCCAAAGCCCAAGAGCATGGGAAGATGCAAGCGACTGCCGCAGCCCACCAGCCACAGATGCAACACGTTTGTATGTATTTAGTAATTTAAAGCAGAGTATACTACGGTGTATGAAGACTATAAATATTTCGTATACTACAGTATGCTATAGTATACGATAGTCTACCATATTGTTCTAAGCAGTTCTAGTCCGACCTTTTTGCCCTGCCCATATTACCCTGTCCCAAGCCCCCAAAGCTCCTAAGCCTCGTCCTCAAAACCTTGCAGCCTCACAGAACTTTGAGTCGGCTGCGCTACAGTAGACACAGACTCTTTTGACACTGAGCTCCAGTCAAGGCTTGTGTGTAGTTGGCAACGAGGCCTGTGCGCTCGGTTTCTCGGGGCAATGCAGTCGTTCCATGTTTCAACCCGACTTACGATCGTCCTTCTTTCTTTTCTGGTGGCGGTCGTGATCCTTGTGGTTTTCATCCCGTGGCCTGCAGTACAATCAGTGCCCATGGGGCTTGTCGTTGTCCAGACGCCTCCTGCGACTGTCCTTGTCCAGACCCCTCCCGCGACTGTCCTTGTCCAGACCCCTCCTGCGACTGTCCTTGTCCAGACGCCTCCTGCGACTGTCCTTGTCCAGACGCCTCCTCCGCGCAAGTTGGTCTTCATTGCCATCACGTCGGTGAACAGGGCGGAGAGGGATGCGGCTCGGGGGACCTGGTGCGTGGTGGCGAGGCAGTATGGCAACGTTGGCTACACGTTCTTCACTCAGGTGGGCGTGGATCGCCACGATGCGGCGAGGTGGGGGAGCCCGTCGGCGCTGAATAGGGAGAGGGAGGAGTTTGGAGACCTGGTGATCTGGCCTCACAACCTGTCCGGCATGGCCTTTGGCATTAGGCAGCTCATGATGCTTCAAGACTACCGAGCCATGAACGAGACCTATTACTTTTTCATATACATCGATGACGACACCTTCCCTTGTGTCCCGATGATATCGAGCGAGCTGCAGTGGGTTGTCCACAAGAGCGCGGGTGGCCCTGTGCCTCGCATCTACGCGGGGCTTCTGCACTGCGATGGCCGGGGCCGTTACAGGCACGACCAGCACTTCTTGGTGCTGGAGGACAGCGTCGTGGGCGACATATTGGACAGGCAAAGCAGGCTCGTGTGCGACAAGTACAGCGGGACCAGCACAGGGGGCTGGGTGTCGCTCGTGGAGAAAGAGGCCGCTCCTGTGGTGTGGCATGACTTGACACTTGATCCGTCGACGGATCCGTCGAACAGGCTCACGGTAAATAAGAGGCCCAGGTGGTGCTTCAACAGCCTGTACGCCGGGGACCTGGAGCCGGGCGAGTTTGCAGGGGTGCTGCATAAGTCCTGGAACAAGTCGAATGTTCAAGGCGCCATGGCGCTGGACCAGAAGCGACTCTCGTGCCGGGGTAAGGTGCCTGAAGGAGACCTTTACTACGACATTGTGAAGTTCGCACAGGGGCCTTACCGTGGCGGGTTGAACTGCATCACCGATGGCTGGCGCTACTCAACAATTCGGTGGCACTAACGGAACTAGCCGGATTTCCGTCGAGAACTGGTGTTGACGGGTTTCACACGAAATTGACAAGTCCGTGATGGTATAGGTGTGGCCAGTGCAGGAATCGTGGGAGCATGCATGTGTTCGCGAAGATGCGTGCAGATGTGTGCCGGCCCAACACCTGCGGGAAAGGAAGCGCATCCGCAGCCTGCTGTGTGTAAGGTCACTAGCCCAGAACTTCAAGGGTGACACCCCAAGATTGGTTTTGGGCTTCAGGTTGGCCTTCCAAGACAATTTAAAAAAGGTTGAGTTTCAAATGTCTATGCCGCGTGAGGTTCTGGCGAAGGGCCTAGGTCCTGGTGCCTGAAGTATCCTGCACCCGTTGAACATCCCCATCGCCGAGAGCCTCCATCCCGCAATACTTAAACCCAGAGAGTTGTGGGCTGCATCCAATGGTTTAGCGGTTAAGGCCTGGGGTTAGGTGTGTCTGGTTCTTACAGAACCCATCCTCGAATTGTGCTGACATGTGAGCACTCCTAGCAGCCCAGACCTTTGCAGTGTCCTTGGGAGGTCTGCTGGCTAGTGTTCGCGTTTGTCACTGTTCTCCTCACAACGCAGATGCCCCTTAGGCAGCAAACTGCCGTTGGGGGGTGTCGGGCCTGAACCCTAAGAAATCAGCCGTGTGGCATCCTTGTCTGCTGAGAGTTTTCGGTGTCATGCCTACCACGGCATCAGCAAGGACTTGCTCCGGTCTCCTGGAGACCAGGAGACGAACAACCTGTCCCTTTGTCAGCCCAAGACCCCATGATGCCCTCAACCCCGAACCTTTGTCGAGTCTCTGCCCTGTCGCCCAAAAAGGCCAACCCTGAGTCACTCTTTGCCGTTGCAAGACGTTTGCTTTCGATCTTTCCAGTGTTAACCTTTGGCGCCGTTCGGCTGAGTTTCTTTTAGGTTTTGGAGTTTATGGGCTTTATGGGTTTAGGGGTGTAAAGTTTTAGGGTTTAGGGACCCCCCAGCCTTTAACCTCGATCCCCAAATTATCTTGCCGAGACGGCGGAACTGAGTCCCGGGCCCAGCGCAACCCCGCTTCCTGCTTTTGGGGATTCTAAGCACAACCCTAAACCCTTGAACCCTTAAAATCCCTAGGCTCTCAGACCCTGAAACCCTGAGCCCAAAGGCAATTATAGTATGGTCATTGGGCTACGTGGACGCCTAGGACCTTAAGAGCTCAAAAGTCTAGGGGTGCATCATGGGCAATGGTGGTCGCTGTGAGCACATTGGTGCATCTCCATGCGCTTTACAAAGTGCAGCCTCTCAGCTCCCCGTTTAACCCGAAGTCCAAAACCCAAGCCCTAAACCCTAAAATGCCCTGACGCCTAAACGCCAAACCCTCAACCCTGCACCCTAAATGTTGCTGTGCGTGCGGAGTGAGACGCCAAGGGGGGAGAGACAACAGAGGAAGTAACGCCGGGAGGCTCAGAAAGCTGAACTTGAGCCTTGAACCGACTGTTCAAGGGCGGTTTACTACAGTAGGGTTTCGGGCTTACGTAGGGCTAAGGCTTGTAGAGCTTAGCGCTTGGGCTTGTTGATTTCGGGTTTAGGGGCGGCCATAAGACCCAAAGAAGGCTTCGTCATTAAGAGCTCCTTGGGTCTGGCTTAGGGCTTAGAGTTTAACATCTCAAGTCCAAGCATTCACTAGTCGAGCTGCCTATCAAGCGAAGGAAGAATACCCTCCCACCCATAGAACCCCGAAACATTAGGAACTAGTTTACATTCCAAGCTTTCAAAAAAGCCTACATCCTACTTGCCTTCCAAGCCCACCGAGCCCTAGCCCAATAAGTACCCCTAAAGGCTCAGCCCCCATAGGCCCTGAACCAAGACCATGTAACGACCCTAAGATTGAGAGCCAAAGGGTCCAAAGGGACAATACATTTCTGCTTCGAGTGTTTGAAAGAGTCCAGAGGAATGGATTCGTTAACCGAATCCTCCTCTGGTTCCACAAGCGAAACATATCAGCAGCACAATTTGGAGGAGTTGGCCCAAGCCCTAAGCCCTGTAAATCAAACGAACCAAGAAATGCAGCCCACAAAAGATCCCCCAACAAGCTCCACCCTTTTAGGGGTTAGGGTTGCTGGAACCTATCCATATCTAACCTCAGTTATACCCAAGCTTTCAAAAGAGCCGCGTGTGCGCAGAGTTGTGCCAACCCGCAAGGACCAGCTGCCTTTTAGTGATCCTCTGAGGGAGGCGGCTGCGCTGAGGGGTTTCGAGTTGCAGGCTCAGAGAGTTCCGCACCTCAAATTCAGGTTCCCCTCAACCCAAATGATCCCCACACACCCCAAACTCGAGGCCCTGAGCACCGAGAACCCTCCCTGCGGTTCAGTTCGATTTTCAAGCCTTTCCCTGTGACTCCGAGCCTTCGGCTAAAGGAAATGGCTTCTGTGCTCTGAGTTGGTACGTGCAGAGGCTTGCTCTAAGCCCTAAGCCTTAAACCTGAACCCCGGTTTCAGGCCACAGGACGTAGGCCTGGCGCAGGGCTTGCGTGCCGTTCGTGGTAGTTGGTTTTGGGTCAGGGTCAGGAAGCTGAAACTACTCGCAGTTTTTTTTTTTGAGATACCATTGAACTTGAAAGCCTCACGCCCGAAGCACTAAGCCCGCCATGGGCTTCCCCAGTCCGCTGGAAACGCCTCAAGAAAGCAGAAGCCCCAAACCCTAAACCCTAGACTCCAACACCCAAGCCCCAAAACACCCCAGCTCCAGGCCCCAAAAGCCCAAACCCTTTGTTGGGCTCTCTTTTGGTTTAGGGGTTTCCCTAAACTTTCCGATGCACCAGAAGACTCAACGCCAAATTGGATGAGCAGGTGTATGGCTCACCTGCACTCTGGGGTTGCTTTCCAAGACTAGGGAGGCTAGGGTTTGGGGTTTGCGGGTTTGGGGGCTAAGGGCAGTTTAGGGCTTTTTTAGGGGGTTTGGGGCGATTTAGGGGGTTTTTTTTGTCAGGGCCGTGCGCGCGATGCAGCTGCGCGCTTTGGCGCCCTCCCGGAACTGTCTGACTCCCGAATGACCCTAGCTATTTCGACATACTTGAAGTGTGGGCCTAGGGTGCGGGTACGGGCGGTGTGGTCAGGATCCCAATACTGCGGATAAAATCTTTTAGTGAGGACTTCTAACCAGTATGGTATCTGCATTCCGCGACGTCTTCCTTGTGCTAGAATACGGTCCTTAAAGGCAGCTGTAAAAACCACACTATGTGTTGGTTCCGCTCTGGGGGCCATAATACTTGTTTAAGGGTTTTATGCTGGGCGTTGAGGATGTGTGTGGATGGTAGGGTTGGATATCCTGCTTTGCGCATAACTTCCGTGTTTGGGATGCGGGAGTAGTAGGATGCTTTGACGCGAACCACTCTTCTTAGGAACCGAATGAAGAAAGCATCCACCCTGTCTAGTTGTTTTTGCGTAAGAGTGAGGGTATCCAACGCGTAAATAAGTGTGGGCGTGAAGGTAGACTGGAAAATACGTAAACGTACCGCCTGGGAGAGGCTACTGTTCCATACTAAGCGGAGCTTCTTAAATGCTTCCTCGGCTATAGCTGCTCTATGTAAGAATGCGGCGTCAAAGGGTTTTTTCCATGTGATCCTGGTGCCTAAATACTTGATTTGCGGTGTGGTCGGGACGGCCGCGCCATCCGTAAAGTACAGCGGAGAGGAGGGGCGATCGGGATTGATTAGGAGCTCAGTCTTGGTTTTATTTAGGTGCATACCGTATTCATGTGCTACTGACTCTAATGATGTGAGAATGTCCTGCATCTGCGGTGTGGTCAAGGCTAACAACAATGTGTCATCCGCGTGCTCTAAATCGAACGTTGGATAGCCTTCTGACCAGGTATTGGTGGGCGTGCCTTGGAGTAGTAAGTCGTTATCAACATCCGCAAGCATGACTGTGAGTACTATAATAAATAGATATGGGCTTAGGGGACATCCTTGCCTAATACCTGAGTGTACAGAGCCTGCTGCGGCGGTGTGATCGGGTCCTCTGGTGTAAAAGGTTGGAGACTGATATATAGCCTGTATTGTCTTGAGCATAAGTTCTGAAACACCGAAACGGCGCAACGCTTCGAGCATGGCGGTGTGGTCGAGTGAGTCAAAGGCCTGCTTCCAGTCTAGGAATAATAGTTGTAATGGTTTATTTGTCATTTCCGCCCACTCCATGGCGCGGCGTAAAACAAATATGGGCTGTTGTGTGCCTCTACCTTCTCGAAAACCGTACTGTCGACTGCGAAGGAAATGCTCACTTGATTTTGCGAGGCGGTGTTGCAGCATAGCAGCGTATATTTTGTAAATGGTGTTAAGTAAAGAAATGGGTCGATAGTTGGTGACGTCTGTGTCTAGACCTTTACCCTTATATATTGACACTACTATTGCTTCGGCCCATGGTCCCGGGATGTCGCCTTCCTCCCAACATTTGTTGTAGATACTCAAGAGCGCTGCTTCTCCTTCCCTGTCTAATAGCATAAACAGCTCGTTCCTCACCTGGTCCGGTCCCGGAGCCTTTCCGCCTTTACTTTTTTGAATGGCCCGTTGAAGGTCGTCCAAAGTGAACCGTCCTTCATCAGGGAGTTGTGGACGTAATCCCGGTCTAGCTCTACGTCTAGCGGCGGTGTGGTCAGGAATGTTGGGCGGAGCCCATTGCGAACCCTCGAGGTGATCCCTGAAAGCGGCGTGCGATTTTGACCATGGGACTGGCTTCCCGTTTACAATTGGATGCGATTTTTTCCCCACGAAACCTTTTTTCTGTCGGCGAACTGCATTCCAAAGCGGTGAGTGACTGGCATCCGGGTCTGCTAAAAGTTGGTCATGAACCCAGTCGATTCTATCCCTGCGCGCTGCCCTCTTGGCTTTGTTTCTTTGCGTTTTCCAATCTTCGTGACCTTCCGCTTGCGCTGCCCGTGCCTGGGCCAGGAGCTGTAGGGTGTGGTCTTTGATCCATGGTGTGTGCGCGCGTCGTTCTTTGTAAGGAAAGTGATCCGCCGCAGCCTGCTTCATGGCGTGCACCATGGTGTCCGCTGACATGGTGGGGGTGTGGTCCTGGGGCGGAGTGTCCGGGGGAACCATGTTACTTCCGCCGTTGCGCCCCTGTGTACGCCCAGCGTTGGCGAGTGCATCCGCCTTTTCGTTACCTTCTGTGCCTGCGTGCGCCTTGACCCAATGGAACGAGACTGTCATTCCTGTTTGTGTTGAGAGTGTGTGTGCACGGCCAACTAGTGTTTTATGTGATTTTGCACGCCACCTGCCCGTAATGACGTTGATGGCCCACTGGCTGTCCGAGTATATATCTGCTCTACCGCACCCTTGCTCCAAGGCGTATAATAGTGCCTCTATAATAGCTGTCAGCTCCCCAGTGTTGTTAGAACCGACCTGGGCCCCGTAGTAAAATCTGGCGGTGTGGTCAGTTTCCACCCTGCCCCGCGCGGTGATCCACTCCCCGTGTTGCTTGGTACACCATCCCCAGCCCGCTGGTGTTGTTTTTGTGCATCGTCCACCTGTTCCCGAGCCGTCCGTATAGAAGCTCATTCTGGCGGTGTGGTCAGGGTCAGAAGACCCATCCTTACGGCTACTTTGCGGGGAGCCCCGAATTTGTGCGTTATAAGCCAGTCTTTGATCAATGCTTACTCTAGAGAAGTCAAATTCTGGGGGCTTTGGTGGTGGGGGGTCTCTACGTGCCAACTTAACCTGCACTTCCGTTACCAGGAGATAATGGTCCGACGGGTACCCTGTATGCAATTTAGATCTACATGAGTTAACGGATGAAAGCCATTGTCTCCTAGTGAAGGTGTGGTCTAGCCGCTGAAAGCGAACGGGGTCGGGTGAGGGGTCTACTCGGGGCGGAGGAAGAGGTTGCGCCAGCGGTAAGAAGCTGCGTATTCTGGCCGCTACTTCCAAGGATTGTGATGGCATCACTCTATGTAGCTCTGAATACACCTGCTGCATGATCAAAGGATCCAAGACGTACTGCGACCAATCCTTTGGGGGGGCTGTTTTATCCCGGAAAGTGATGTGGTGAACTGGGTTGGGTGTTTTGTATGAGGCGACCTCCAGCATATCTAGAAGAAGCATTGTTCGAACGCACAACGAGCGGTTGGATTGGGCGGTGTGGTCGATAGCTTGCGAACCCTTTCCGTATGTGAATGGTCCTGTAACGCCCTCATCATGTTTGTGTTGTGCTTGAAACCGAACATTAAAATCACCCGTAAGATACACTGGTTCTGGTTGGGGTATTTTCGCCACATATTCCTCTAGGGATTCCCAAAACGGTTGCCGAACTGTGTCATGATCATGACCTGAATGTGGCCGGCGCATACGCTCCTAACAAGTGTATCCTACCTCCCCTCTTGTTGAGTATGATATGAATAAGCCTATTGTTGACCTGGACTATGTCAGCAAGGTGTGGTCGGATGTCTGGACTCACTATAACCCCTACCCCAGAGTGCTTATCTTTGTTATTACCAGACAAAACGACTAAGTGTTGCTCTGAGGTGTAGGAGTAATACGAAGTCGATTTAGTTTCTGATAGGAACATGACATCCAGATTGTGTTCCTTCATCATAAGCAACAGATTTTTGAGCTTGAGGGTATCAGCCATACCTTGCACATTCTGACTACCGACTCTAAGCTTGCGATTGTAAGCTAGAGGCGGTGTGGTCTGGGGCCCATTCTGTTTAGGCTTCTTTTTCCGTGTGATTTTTTGCTGCCATAGGACGTTTGTCCTGAACCACTGTGCCCTGTTTTGGGGGGCTTTTGTGGACTGGGGGGGGTGTGGCTGCTGAGGAGTCCGCCCTCAGAGCCTTTGTGTTTTTGCAGGCCTGCTGCCATTGCCTGTAGCACCTACGAGAGGTCCTACGAGCATTGACTCCCCTGGGCCTATCAATGTGACACCCTCCCTTGTGGGGACACTCTTCGTGCTCTCCAAAAGGAGATCCCGGCTTGCCTCTCGGAGGCGGTGGTCGGCGGTATTCCAGCTGAGGATGAATTCCTTTAATTCTTCGAATTCTAGGGTGTGTTCTTCTACGAAGGGGTTTAAAATTGTGCCATGTACCATTAGCAAGGCGGGTCCTTCTACGTCTACCAGTTCTGGAGGGTGAGGACTTAAGTGGGGTGACACTAGGCGGTGTGGTCTCGGAAAGGTTGACCGACGACTCCAACCTGAACAGTGGAGGTGACTCCTTACAAACCCCTCTAAACTGAAGCAAGGTGTATTTGGAGTACTGGAGATTGGGTATTGGGCTAATTGGGAGTAAGGCCTCCAACCTAAGGGTCAACTTGGGTCGGGCGGTGGTCGTGGTATTACCCGTAATAGCATGCATAAGTTTGTTCCTAGTTCTTTGACTACAGAGGTGTTGTGCTTGGTTCTTTGCAGGGTCTAGATCGGGAGTCAGAAAAGAAAGCGAATTAACCCCTGGCTGTATGGGGGTGTGGTCATTGGCCCCTCTTCTCCTGTTAGAAAGTTTCAAAGGTGGAGTGCAGGTGCGCAACGAAAAAGAAACATGCAGAACATTGCTCTGAGCTCTGACCCTTAAAATGTCGGGGAGCGTGGTGAGCATGCTAAGAGGACCCCGTCAGGCGGTGTGGCCTTGCTTGCCTGCGCCCTTGCTCGTGGGCGGGGGGGCCTTTGCAAAAGGGTTCTCGGAACGCTCCATCTCTACGTCCTCTGCCGCGGCGGTGTGGCTAGCGGCGTCGGGTGCGACGGGCTTCCCTTGGTAGGTGGCGGCTGCTATGTCGCCCACCTGTTGTTCTGGGACGCCCATCTTTTGACAAAGTTCGTCCCAGACGAACGCAACTTGCTCCACTGCGTTGTGCTGGAGCTCAAAAGGATACGGCGAGAAATAGGAATTGTGGAGCACTACATTGGACCAATGCTTGCGGGATTTTCCCACAAAGGTCCCTTTTCCGGCGGTGTGGCCCTCATGCTTGGCCTGCCGGTAAGCGATACGCTCCATTTCATCCAATTCGAATTGCGTGCCCCAGATCACCGTATTCCAGTGTTCTGCGAAAAGCGTCTCCTCCTTACACCCCACCGTGGTAGGAGGAGAGTGCATGATACGGGTCAGCGGTGGGGACGTCTCCGACCGGGCTTGAAAGGAGCCTTCGGCTTCCTCGTAAAAAAGCCGACGCCAGGCGGTGTGGTCGGGTTGAAAGTCCGGACCCTCGACTGGCTCCATAATTGTGAGGCTTTTCCAAAGGATGATGAGCCTCTTTCCCTGTGTGTCAGGGTGCGCATTCAGCACCGAAATGACAACCCTCAGTGGCATCTCGAGTTTTCGCTGCCACTGAGGTGAACAAGGTGAGACGCGGACGTGCTTGCCGGTGATAGGCACCGTGGGGGCGGTGTAGAGAGGAGTTCCGCCCTGCCCTCCGTACCGCTTTAAAAAAGCCTGCCGAAGGTCCCAGGATTTGAAGTGCAGCATCGTCATTCCACTCCAGAATGTGCCCTGGGGTACCGTGGTGGGGTCCGTGTTGAGGATATTGAACCACATCTGCGCGTGCTGGGCGGTGTGGTCGGCATCCTCGCGGAGGAACCCACGGTTGCGCAGGAAATTCTGTGCCTCTGGGAGCTGCTCGATCATCCAGCCGATCATGAACTCGCGTTGCTCCGGCTTGAGACCGTTGGGCCAGCCAGTTGTGACCAGTAGCAAGCCGCACGACCTCTTCTGCTCCGAGCGGTTGTCTGCCGTCATGAAGGCCAGTTCACGGCGACAGCTAAAGACTGCGTCGTTCACCTTGAGCAACGCACTTTCAAGCTGCAGCACGAGGCCGTACATCTCAGGACGCACCACTGCCTTGTGGTACCCACGAACGATGCGCAACACGTCCTTGGCGGTGTGGACAGGAGCGGCCAAAACCTGCTGCACCGATTGCGGGTTGTTCACATCTGCGCCCAACTCACCGGCTGTGACTTGGAAGGCCGTTTCATCTTCCAGAAGGGTTGGCACCACCAATCCACTCACCGGGCCGTCTGTCGGAACTGGGGTGCCCTCCTGCGGTGTGGTCAGCCCTGAGGCGACCGGCGTGGGGGGCTCACGCCTCTTGCGACTGTGCTCCTCAAAGAACGCCCCCTGTACTGTGCGGATCTCCGTTCTGCCAGCGTAGAACTCCCTTTGCTGTTGGAAGGCTGCTTGGAACTGTTCCTGGCTTCCACGCGCTGGGTCTGTCATGGCTTGGGAGATAAGTGAAACTTGCCTCTTAGAGGCGGTGTGGCCAAAGGGAGGCCTCTCGAAAACTGGCACGTGCACTACTTGCAAGCTGGCTAGCCGAAAGCCTATTTAGGGGGTTTGGGGGTTCGGGGTTGAGGATTTCGGATGCTACGGTTTTGGGGCCTCTCTTCCGGCACTTTGGTGGGGTTGCACACCGAGCATGCCCTTGCTTTTGGAGATTGACTTGAGTCATGAGGCTTCTTGTGGTGCCCCAAACCCTCAAAGCCCTAAACCCGAAAAACCCTAAACCCTAAGCTAAACCCCCAAACCCTCAAAGCCCGAAACCCGAAAAACCCTAAACCCTAAGCTAAACCCCCAAACCCTCAAAGCCCGAAACCCGAAAAACCCAAAACCCTAAGCTAAACCCCTAAAAACCCTCAAAGCCCTAAACCCCTAAGCTAAACCATACGGAGCGGTTCAGGGTTCAAGCGGGGGGGGGGGGGGGGGAGGAGGTATTTAGGGAACCCTCAGGGCGACCTTAGGGAGCCTTTTGAGCCTTTGGGAGTACGTTGGGGTAGACGGGGTTGCCAAAGTTGTTCCCTAAGCCCTCCTCCTCCTTAAGGATGTGACTAGAATGGCCCAAGATCCACCCTCGGCCTTAAACCTTAAGTTCCCAAATCCGAGCCTCTAAACTCCAAACCCTAAACCCTAAACTTGAAAAGAAGGTTCCGATATGTGCTTTTCGGCTAGGGATCGTTAGGGTGGAGGACCCCGAAATTGTACGACAGAGTTCTTATACTCTTACGTTCGTACTTATTATATTATTTAAAAATCAGTTTTTACATCAGTATATTAGGATTGATAGCCAAATACAAGTAACTGTTTATGTATCATGATAGTCAAAATAAATAGATATAAATATAAATTTAATAAATATATTTTTATAGATATAGATATAGATATCAGATATCAGATATCATGATGTTAGTCTACCGGGGTTGAAGGGGTGAGGCTTCAGGGCTCACGGTTTAGGATGCTGAGGGTTTAAGGGATCTTGGGGTTTAGGGTTTGAGGGTTTTGGGGTATAGAGTGTTTGGGGCGAAAGGGTTTGGAGTGTTGTGTTCGGGGCACCGGGAAGCGTCCCGGACGCCTGTCTGCGGCTGATGGATCGTGCAAGAACTGGCGGCCAAACTGCCCAAACAGTGGCTGGGCGCAAGCCCTATAAAAAACTCCCCACAAACCCTAAACCCCAAATTCCTCAACCCCTAAACCCTTAACGCCAATCCCTAACCCTAAACCTCAAATCCTAGCCGTTTTGGGTTCAGGGTGGAAATGTGGTGACGTTTCTGGCAGCCGAAGCCCTAATTCCCGTAAAGCTCCAGCCGTAAAGCTCCGGGCATTGCTTGGTCAGGTAAATAGGGTGTTTACCCCTTGTTTGCGGACCTTCCATGAAATTTGGATCTCTAGAATGCGGTTGAGAATACACTTGGGTATTGAGACTCCAGAAGAGAACAACAGCAGTACTAGTACTAGTACTAGTAGTAGCAGAAGAAGAAGTAGTAGTCGTCGTCCCGGTTTTAGGGCACTGGGTTCATAGGGTTTCGGGGGTTACGGCCCGAAGCCGCCAAGCTGCAGTTTGTGTCTGAGTCCAAGGCTGGCAACGGCTTGTACCATCAGCTCGCCAGCTGTGGCTGTGGTCGGGTGACTCTCGGCTATCTGTTCGGGTTGAGATTCTATGGGCGCTTGTCCATGGTGTGATTGACTTGGGCGCATGCGAGATATGGGTTTGCGATATGATGGGGTACCTTATTGGGTGGTCCTTATTATATAAGGGGATCCTACTCTGAGGGGCAAAATTAGGGGTCCCTGAGGGTTTAGGCAGATTCTCGGCTTTGGAAAGCGCAGCTGCAAAACAAACTGTTCTTGAACTCGCGACCCGCGGTGCCAAGGAGGTAAGCAAGCATAGCCCAAGCAAGCTCTTAGGAATTTGCAAGGAAACCGGAAGGGGAACCAATTTTATCACCCTTTAGGCTGCTGCTGGCTGTGCTTGTAGTGGCCGCGCTGGCCGCCATTCCGCCCCTGGGCTCCAGCCCTAAACCCCTAAACACTATCACCCCAAGCCCAAACCCCAAACCCCAACCCTAACCCCTAGACGTAGACCCTAAGCCCGACATTCTAGACCCTTAAGCGAAAAACCGAAAATCCTTAGCCCAAACCGAAACCTAAGCCCTGAACTCTTGAAAGCCCCAAACACCAAAAACCCTCAAACCCCCTCAAACCTCAAACCCGTAAACCCCGTACCCTACAACCTAAACAAGCCCCTGAAACCCTAGACCCTTAAGAGCCTAAACCCTGAACCCTTGGAGTTTAAGGTTGAGAGTTATAGGTAACTTGGAGCAGTTGGTGTTCTACTTGCATAACATAGGGGGCTATCAGGAGATGATGTTGGTATCTGGTTAGGTTCGATTCAGCGCTGCTGCATTGCGACTGGCTTGACCGGAACAATGGTTGAGTACAAAGCCCCAAACGGTATGAGGACAGCTACTCTTCCTACACGCGGAAATGCCAGTTGCAGGAGCCGCCAGTACAACGCTTGAGGCGTTATATGTTAGTAAGCCCAACCGCAGGTACCAGACCTAAGCAGTCGTACCGTCGTGTTTGGGTTTCGGGCTTCAACGGCCTAGGGACTGGGCAAACTCCTCCTCCCAAAGTCCAAACTGGCACTCAGAAAGTTTACTGAAATCCTTATGTAACAGTGGGCATGTCGGTTTACGGCATATGGTTTAAAGAAAAGTTAGGGGTGTCTCGTTCACCGCCCTAAGCTTTCAACCTCCAAAAGCTGTAAAGCACCTAAGGCTCCGCCAGCCCATCCGATGCAGCCGGATTTCTGAAACGATCTCGGCCGCCGTGGGCCCTCTTTCAGTGAGCCATGGCCTTTTAAACCTTTGGGGATTGGGGCTTAAGGTTTAGGATTGTGTTGGGGTTTTTTAAGGTGAACTGTTGAAGATGATGAGGGTTGTGGACTTAGGGGCTCTGGGCTCAATCCCCAACCCTTAAAAAGCCAGAAAACAGCTTAGCGTTCAGACCACAGAAATGGTCATGGACATCCGGTCTCTTAGGATTTAGGCGCTGGCTTGGGGTTCTTCGGTATGGGTTAAGGGTCGGACCCCCTGAGTCCACCACGCAACATGAAGCCCAGGGCCAGTGGCCAGGCTTCGGCATTCACCGAGACCGCGCCCAATGTGCTTCCTCCGATAGTGCCCCTGGGCGTGGGTGTCGGGGGTTAGGGTTTAGGGTTCAGGGCTTGTAGGGTTTAAGGTTCAGGATTTAGGGTCCTAGGGTCTTGGGGCGAAAATAGGGAGTGCTGGAGGGATTTCAGTCCCTTAGCCCTGAACCCTATTGCCTTAAACCCATCGAGGGGGTAGGTTTATGGCCTTCATTCGGGTTTTCGGGCCCTGGTAGCTCGGACATACTTTTGGAAAATACTGACCTAGGCAGCAGTCATTCAAGCCCGGGCCCAAGCCTAGCTTAGGGTTTAGGGTTTATTGTTTAGGATTTAGGGTTTCAGGATTAGGGTTTGGGCTTTGAAGGTTCGTGGGTATTTATATGTAGGGTTCTAGATAGGGTTATGACCGATAACCTAAACTCCCTAAACCCCATGCTTCCAAAACTCCCAATGCCTCTGCTAAACTCCAACGTCCAAGCCATAAGCCCTAGGATTTCCTAAAGATTTAGCCCGAAAGCTCCTGAACCCTAAGCCCTAAGCCCTAACCCCCCCTCCCAATATACCGAAAAATACAGAGTCCTTATCAGGAACACCCAAAAAGGGTGCCCATATCTTGCAAAGCCACCCGCCCCCCATCCAATTTTTCTTATGCCCTAAACTCCTGAAAGCCTCCTCCTAAGCCCATCTAAACCCCCAAACTCAAGACCCTCGAAGGGGTACTCTGTTGCAGTAGCTCCTACTTCCCCTATGGCTTGCACACCCTGGATAGAGATTTTGTTGGGGATGGTTGGGAAAATTTGACCAAAGCTCTAAACTCGAAAGTCAATGCTCTGGGTATGCCCCAGGCCTGCGCCAGCGCCTCAACCGGCGTTTCTCGCTCACGCGCCGGCGCCGGCGAAACCCCTGCAGGCCGCTTCTTTGAGGGATGTGGGGGTGTTGCGGCTTCAGGTTTCATTCCCCAAACAGCTTTAGCGTTGGGGTTGCTATTTTGTTTGAAAGAGCAGGCCTTGGTGACGTTCATTTGGGTTGCTCACTGCGCTAGTCAAAAAGTTGTCTCTCATCTGTCTCTCTTTGTAGAGTGAGTCCCTGGATGCTGTGACGCCCGTCTGGGACGTCTCCTTCGTAAAGTGAGACCCTGGATGCTGGGACGGTTGGGTGGGATTTGTCTCCCTTTGTCAAGTGCGGGGCAATCGTGCAGCTGCATTGAGCCTCTGAGGCTCCTGTCTCGTCCAGACAGGGTGGTTTCTGCAAGGAGTTAGCTGTCCGAATGCACGTGCCCATTGCCCATTCTCCAGAATGAATTTGGGAATGTTCTTCTTCATTTCTGTTTTTTCAAGTTCAGGGCTTTTGTGTCTGTTCCTGCGCAAAAAAAGAGAGCGCAGAATCGATGAATCTAGACTTCAGAGCAAGCAGAGCCATTGCCCAGAGCATGTTGCGGATGCCGCGACGGCAGTGGCGTAGAAAAGTCGAGTTTATTGCCATCTGTCTGTACCCGAAGGATGATGGCAGTGATCAAAGCTGCATTTTGGTCTTCTAGGGGTTTGAGGCTTTCGAGGGGAGCCTTAGGTTTTTGGGGATTGAAACTTGGGTTGTAGGGAGGGTTTCCGAATCGTGCCCACAAGGATGGTGGTCCTTGCCGTGAAGTGGCGGAGTAGGCATAAGGTTCATTTACCAGAATTACCTGTTTTGGAATATCAACTTTAGACCCTCCCTTCTCTCTCGGGTTTAGGTTTTTTGGGGTAATAGGGCCTTTTGGTCATAAGGTTATAGGGTTCTCAGGTTATTGGGCTACAGGGATATAGGGCACTAGGGCCTTGAACCCAAAAGACCTCCACCCCCTGAACCCTGAAGCCCTAAATACCTTAAACCCTAAACCCTAAACCCTAAACCCTAAACCCTAAACCCTAAACCCTAGACCCTAGACCCTAGACCCTAGACCCTAAACCCTAAACCCTAAACCCTAAACCCTAAACCCTAAATCTCAAGCCGGCCCGGAAAGGCGCCTGGCCCCTTCGTTATGCGCAGCAAAGATCCCTGCGTGCCCGTCTTGGGGCAGAAGGCTGAACCTGCGCTAGGGTTTAGGGTTTAGTGTTTAGGGTTTGGGGTTTGGGGTTAAGGGTTTAGGGCTCCGGTTTAGGGATTTCACTGCGAAGGTAAGCCCAGAAGCTATAAACCACCCCCACCACCAAAGCCCTCTGACATACTACAGCCCTCAGCATCTGGCCCTTGAAAATCCCAATCCACCCCAAGGATCCCAAAGCCGTGAAAGAAACAAGCAGGTCCTGGATGCCACGGCCCTCAAACCCTGAAACCCCAAAGCCTCCGTCCGCCCCCAAACCCCCAATCCCCAATCCCCAATCCCCAATCCCTAAACCCTAAACCCTAAACCCTAAACCCTAAAACCTTAACCCTAAACCCTAAACCCTAAACCCTAAACCCTAAACCCTAAACCCTAAACCCTAAACCCTAAACCCTAAACCCTAAACCCGAAACCCGAAACCCTCAACCTCTCTATCATATGATAATTTAAACTCTAATGAATTCATTGTTCATGGCCAATTGTTCGTTGCTCATGGCATATTTTTCGTGGTTCATGGCCAATTTTTGGTGGCTCATGGCCAATTTTGCGTGGTTCATGGCCAATCGACATTTTGTTCGGGGTTCATGGCCAATTTTTCGTGGTTCATGGCCAGTTTTCGTGGGGTTTAGGGTTTCAGGGCCTCAAGGCCTGGAGTTTGGGGTTTCATGGCCTCAAGGCCTGGGGTTTCGGGCTTCAGGGCCTGCAGGCCTGGGGTTTAGGGTTTCAGGGCCTCAAGGCCTGGGGTTTAGGGTTTCAGGGCCTGCAGGCCTGGGGTTTAGGGTTTCAGGGCCTCAAGGCCTGGGGTTTACGGTTTCAGGGCCTGCAGGCCTGGGTTTAGGGTTTCAGGGCCTCAACGCCTGGCGTTTAGGGTTTCAGGGCCTCAAGGTGTGGGGTTAGGTTTCAGGCCCTCAAGGCCTGCGGTTTAGGGTTTCAGGATCTTAAGGCCTGAGGGCTTGGCGTTCAGGGATTGAGGGCTTCTTTTAGTCGATACAACGAAATGATCAAAATAATGTGCCGCGCGTGATTGTTTTCTTTATGGGTGCGTCGGAAAAAAAGAATCATTAACCGTCTCAATGCTATGGGATTCATGGGTGGGTGGGTGTTATGTCGGAGCCGAACAAAAACTTTACCATAAAACTGATCGGGCTCGAGCTGCTGAACCCTAAACCCTAAACCCTAAGCCTGCACCGTAAACTGCGCGCAAGGCCCCTGAGTGGTTAGGCCGCCTCATGAATGGCGCGGGGTGGGATGAATGGATCGGCCTGCAGTAAGCAGGCCGAAGAGCTGCCCTACACCCTACACCCTACACCCTAAACCCTAAGCCCTAAACCCTAAACCCTAAACCAGAAGGCCTAAGCAGCGGCGCTGCCCGCCAGGTTGTCGTGGGCCCCAGGGAGGAGTTCGAGTACGTCCAGAGTGCAATGGACGCCTGGGCAGGTCTTTCGGGGAGGGTTTGCGTGTTTATGGGTTGGGGGATTTAGGGTTGAGGATTTAGGGGTTTGGGGTTTAGGGTTTGGGGTTTGGGGTTTAGGGTTTGGTGTTGTTTGGGGGGTTAGAGGAGAGGGATCAGTCCTGCGGTGTTGGCATACTTGAACACTCTTTCGGGTGAGTTGGGAACATCAAAGTCTGTTCAAATTTTGGATCCCCAACACCAAAACCCAGCACAGCTCCACACTGGTAGGGTTAAGGGTTTGGTGTACAGTCGACAGCCGAAGGTGGAACGTTTGTTTCTGGATCGGGCAGACACTGGGGGGAAGCTTTTATACAAGGCGCACCGTAACAGCAGTTCTAAGGGGAAGTCGAGGTTGCGGATCGCAGAATCCAGTGGCCATTTTGATCGGCCTGCTTTTCGTTGAGGTTCCGTACTGGCTTAGTACTGGAATCGAGGTCATGATCTGGCTGGATGTTCGTTCGTTTTCAGTATTGTTTTAGTATTGGAACCGAGGTTTTCAGTATGAATTTCTGTGTAAATGTTTTGCGCCGGGTTCACGTTTACGCAGCGGTTCACTGGGGGAGAGGCTTGTTGTTATGCCTTCGCTTGCAAGGACAACGTTTCTTCAATGGCTAAAACCGGAACACGGCTCACTGGGGAAGTCGAAAATGTTAGCTGTTTTAAGGGGAACTACGCACCGACCCGCTTTTGTTATGCCTTCGGTTGGTAGCTGTAGCTAGGGCATAGGGCATAGGGTTTAGGGTTTGGGGGTTGCAAGTGTCGGATGCCGTGAACCAAGGAGAAGGAGTGGTTCCGGGAAAGGCGCGTGGGGCAGATTTGCAAGCTGGCCTTGCAGCAGAAGCAGCAGGCCATTGATTGGTTGATTGGTTTTGGTCTTTGGGTTTAGGGTTTAGGGATTCAGCGGCTTGCTTGTCAAACCCCTAAGCCCTTGCCACTCAATCCCAAAGAGCCTAAAGCCCTAAACCCTAAGCCTGCCTTGAACCCTAAACTTGTCCAATAAGGCAGGTTCTTTCTGGTTGACCCGGTTCCTTGATGAGAGAGCTTTTGGGGGCATGCTGCTCTTGAGCCCCACGCCCCTGAGCCCGGGTTTTGCCCCGAGCAAACCCAAGATTCAGTGGCTGAAGGTTGAGGTGTGGAAGGTAAAATGTAGAGCTTCGTCAACAGAGGGTTCCCTTGAAAACTGCACCCGATGTCCGGTTCCCCAAACTCTGCGCAAAGCGGTCTGTGCCATAAAAAAAAGGGCTCCGAGATCCCAAGCCACAAGCCTTACGGCCCCAAAATCCCCAGCCCTAAATCCTTAGCACCCCAAAGGCTGAAACCCTACACAAAACCCCCAAACCCTAAAACCCCCTACCCTTTTTTCTCAGAGCCCTAAACCCAAAACCTTCAACTCTTTCTCCCAGGCAGGGCCATGGCCCTAAACCCGCGAACCTCGAACCCAAAACCCAAAACCCTTATTCCCCCAACAACCCCAAACCCGAAATCCTTCAACCCCTAACCCCCAAACCCAGAACTCCGTAGGCAGCGCTGTGGCTGAACTACTCCGCAGCGGTGTTCAAACCCGTCGTGGACCAGCCCCCGCGCGATCCAACGCCAGAGGAGGCCAAGGTCTTGTCCTACTTCCTGGACAAGGATTCTAGGGTTTAGGGTTTCAGGGGTTCAGGGTTTTAGGGTTTAGGGTTTCAGGGTTTTAGAGCGCAATTCTATCTGTACCTATATCCCAACTATGACCACATGAGGGCACTTAAGGGGCTTATGTCATGAACCTCCAAGTAGTTCTCTAAATGAATAGGTTTAGGGCGTAAAGTTTAGGGCCCATACGAGGGAGCCCTTGTTACTACCCTGAGAAGCCACCAAACCTTGCTGGCTTCAGGGTTTCGGGTTTGGGGGTTTAAGATTTCGGGTTTGGGTCATTCTGTTCAGGGCTTTGGGGTTTAGGGGCTTGGCGGTACAGCCATCGCCTAGTTGTTTTTGAGTGGTTGTTCCAGGACGGTCGGCGGCACTGGATAGAGCCATTGCCCTTTGGGTCAGCATTCGGGTCAGTCTTTTCGGCCGTAAACCCTAAAGCCGAGGCCCTACAACCTACACACCCTAAAGCCGAAGCCAATTCAAAGCTGCTGTTGGGGTAGGGTTTGAGGCTCTTTTTGGATGTACTTGAAGAACCCATTTGAGGGGTCTCCGAAATAGAGGTACCCTTCTCGGGGATTCCTGTCATAAGGATTATACTGTTTTGGGGCAGGGAGGACCCCCCCCCGCCACCCCCTCGTATTGTTTTACTGACCCTAAGCCCTTTGCTAATCTTGACTTGAAAGCTGGATGGTCATTGACCATGATTTGTTTGAAACCCAGGCTGTCTCAAGCGTGCATTTTTGCTTGTTTTCGATTTGTGATGAGCGGAAGAAAACTTGCCAAATGTAGCAGCGCAAAAACTTGACTCAAAAGCAGGCTGTAACAAATCAGGGTAGCAACACAACCATAGAATCACTCACACACACACATATATATGACACTGCAAGCCCAATGGATGAGGATATGTCCGTGGGTTTCAAGCCCAAAACACCAACGTTTAGGGTTTAGGGTTTACAACCCTAAACCCCAATAAACCCTAAACCCTAAACCCTAAACCCTAAACCCTAAACCCTAAAACCCTAAACCCTAAACCCTAAACCCTAAACCCTAAACCCTAAACCCTAAACCCTAAACCCTAAACCCTAAACCCTAGTTGTTACAGATCCCCTCGACTTAAGCTCTTCGGTCGCCTACACAAACCTTGAGGTATCGGGCCCGGAGCTCCTGCGGTCGAGGTTCTTAGAAGGGGTTTCGTGTGTAGGGCTTCAGGGTTGAGGGGGTTTAGGGTTTAGGGTTTAGGGTTTAGGGTTTAGGGTTGAGGGGGTTTTGGGTTTACTTGTACTTCGTGTTGGCATTTCCGTGACGCGATTCGTCTGGTAGATTGTTAGATGCAGGCAGCACCATCCAGAAGCTTCTAGTGCGCCGAACACTCAATCCTGACGCCTGAATAACTGCACCGTTAAACCCTACACCCCAAAAACCTCAACCCTAAACCTTCACCAACACCTCGAAGCTTAAACCCAAACCCCAAAGCCAAAACCCCAAACCCTCGGAAACTGCAGGTCGGGCGTTGCTCGCCACCCGCACTCGGTCTGTCCCCACACGGGCGGCGTAGACAAATTTGACATCCAGCTTACTGTCCGCACACTTTTGGGTTCTGGGTTTTTGGAGCCCTATAGGTGAGTGTATATAAGGTTCCTTTTAATACTGGTGAGTGTATATATGGTGCAGCGTCGCTGCCCCCCCCACCCCCCCCCACCCCATGGTCACCCCCCCCCCAATGGCCCGCCCCAAATTCTTTCCCCGCCCCGCCCCCCTGTGGTTTGGGCCTTTTTGTGGGGTGGTGTGGTTGGGTTTTGGGTTTACGGTTTAGGGTTTAGGGTTTAGGGTTTCGGGTTTAGGGTTTAGCGTTTAGGGTCCCCGCCCCGCCCCCCTGTGGTTTGGGCCCCCCTGTGGGGTGCTGTGGTTGGGGTTTGGGTTGAGGGTTTAGGGTTTAGGGTTTAGGGTTTAGGGGTTTAGGGGTTTAGGGGTTTAGGGGTTTAGGGGTTTAGGGGTTTAGGGGTTTATTAGCGGACATCCAAGCGAGAAGCAAGGTTTAGGGTTTAAGGGGGGGGGGGACCATGGGGGGGGGGGGGTGGGGGGGGGTGGGGGTGGGGGGTGGGGGGGGTGGGGGGGGGGGGTACCGACACGAGACACGGAACCATTTTTTGGGGATACAAGGAATATAAGCCGTACTTCATATAAACCCTACGGCTTTGGGGCTTATGATGGGATCCTCTCCGAAATCAGGCGCATGGGTTCAGGCGTACCTAAACCCTAAGCCCTGAACCTTAAGCCTCTCAAATTTATACACCCTGAACCCTGAAGCCCAAACCATTGTTGGGGCTTCGGGGCGGGGCTTGGCTCATGTTTTCGGTTGTGCTTCCCGTTTTGGGCTTGGGCGGGTGTAGCAATCAGTGGTGGATTCGGGCGCATCTGTCCAAACTCGAGAAACCCGAAGCCCCTAACCCTGAACCGTGGGGTGGTTGCCAGTCCTGCCTTGCAAGAGGAAGAGGAAGTGGAAAAGAGACCTCTGAGAGAGTCTGAGAGGGTGAGCCATTTAGGGTTTAGGGTTGAAAGGATGAGCACCAGTTCGCATTGACTATCGAGGAGTGCCTGCCGCGTGCCGAGGTACCTGTTGCTGGAAAGCTATTGTGGACATCCAGGACGGGTCTTATCCAAGGTCTACGCTCGCTCCGTAAATTCTAGAATTTCTGTGGGGTTGGGACGGCTCCAGTCCCAAAAACTCTAGGGTTCCTGGATTCTTCGGAGTTTTTGTCAGGGCTCCTGGGCAAATCTCGCGGCTTCCCCTCTTTTGTCTTATTCCAATACAGCGGAGGAGGAACAGGAAGAGAGAGAGAGAGAGAGAAGCTCTTTCTGTCTTTCTCTCTTTTCTCTCTTTTCTCTCTTTTCTCTCTTCTCTCTCTTCTCTCTCTTCTCTTTCTTCTCTCTCTTCTCTCCTTTCTCTCTTTTCTCTCTGTTATTTGCATTTCCTTCTGAGGAAATGTGTGTTTGCGTGAGCTTGCCTCCTATGATGGCAAAATTGCAGGTTTTTGTCCCTATGCTTGGGACAGACATGAGCAAAGCGAGTATGCCTGTTAAATGTCTTTTCCCACGGACATTGCATATTCCCAACATGCACACAAATCACTTAACTATGTTTTTGCGTGTCTCAGCGGGGTTGGTGTTAACATGCGCCCTTTGACCTCCCAAGTTTTCTTCTATGCACTAGCTCATGGTTCTCAGAGATCCAAAACCCCGATCAACACCACAAGTAGGGTGTCAAGAATGCGGGGTCTCACAGCGTTCCACTCTCCAGAGTTTCTTGGTAGCCCAGTGGTACCCTTTACCTTTTTTTGGTTCTGGGTTTCTCTGATAAAGTAACCAACCAACAAAGGGGTGCCCTTATTAGAAGATGGTTACTGGGCTGCCAAGGTTTAGTCTTAGTGTTATCCCCGAATATTCTCAGCTACCTAGGTCTTCGCTTCTTGCGTCTGCCCCCTGATACCCTAGACCATGAGCACCAAACTGAACTGCATGTCCCTTTTTCAATGACGCGGCATGTGAAAAAACAAATTCCCGAGCATTCTGCTGGAATCTAGCCCACTGGTTCTTAGTAAGGAATGAGGGAATTAGGTAGTCTTTCGAATCCCTTAAAGGGTTTATACAGGGGACTATGAAATACCTCATTCTCGCACTCAGCACGAAGAGCCACTAGGCAAATGGGGATTTTCCATAAACCCATGTAGTAACCCTGAACCCTAACTTGCTGTCGGGGTGTGGGGGCAGCCCTGGGACTGCAACCCGAAACCCATTTTAGGGTTTGGGGTTTAAGTAGGGTTTAGGGTTTAGGGTTTAGGGTTTAGGGTTTAGGGTTTAGGGTTTAGGGTTTAGGGTTTAGGGTTTAGGGTTTAGGGTTTAGGGTTTAGGGTTTAGGAGGGGTTACGAGCCTCTAAGAGGACCCAAGCCGCGGATGAAGCTGTTTGACATGGGTTGCACCACCAACTGGAACTGGAAGTTGCCACAGCAGCTCGCGTGCAAAGCCCTGAGCGTCCTAAACACCTCAGCCCCTAAGCCTTAAACTCTGAACTATTCATGCCTCAATCCTGAAAAAAGGCCCCTCAGCCGCTAAACCCCAACCGCTACACCCAAAAAGCCGAATTTCCTGAAGCCCCTGAAGTAGCCGAAGCCCCAAGACCCTCAACATCCCACGCCCAGAAGCCTTCAAGCTTCAAAACCCTAAACATATCAACCCTGCACCCCTAAATCTCAACCCCGCCCTAAAGCACCAAAGCCCCACAAGCCCAACACATCTCAACCCTGAAGCCTAAAACCCTAGACCCTAAATTCGCATCCTCAACAGCCGCAAAAGTAACCCCCCCCTCCCCCCTGAAAAAGTCACCACGATGTTACGAGTTCCTACACCCCAACCAGCGCCGTCAGGCAACAAAATCCCAAAGCCTCGACCCTAAACCCTAAACCAAACCCCCCCCCCCCCCCCAATTTCGAGTCCCTGAATGTCGCAGCTACGACTTCTACAACGTGGACTACCACCACGGGGTTGGCCGCGGCCCCTCCATCCCGCTCTTTTTCAACATGTACCGGGAGCCCATGGCTGAGGGGGGATTTGGGTTTGGGGTGTTTAGGGTTTTAGAGGGTTTATAGGGTTTTATAGGGTGTATAGGGTTTATAGGGTTCATAGGGTTGTGAGGGTGTGCAGGGCTTATGGGGTTTTATAGGGTTGAGGCTTGGAGGCTTGCAAAAACCCCAAACCCCAAATCCCCAGGTCCTCAAACTCAAGCAAAGCCCCAGGATCGATGTATGGAGTTCGATGATATCTTCGGATGGGAGGCAGAAAGAAAGGATCAAAAAGAGTGGTGGTCTCCTCTACCTGATGACATCCGTGACTGGGCCATCGGATATGGTACATGTGCCCTTGTTGGTTCTTGAAAGGCTTATGGCCTAAATCCCAAAGCCTTAAACTACGAGGTGCTAACCCTCAACCCTAAACCCTTTTGAGGGGCCAGCCCAGGCGCGCGGACCCGCTTCTACAACATTCCGGTCAACGAGACCTCCTGTCAGATGTCCACCGCGGGGCTCTTCGCGGAAGCTAGGATTAGCTTCCCTCTCGAAAGCAATGCTCGTTAAGAAGGGTTTGGTGTCTAGGGTCTAGGGTTTACTGGGCTTTTCATAGACTCGTTACCCCTGGAAAACAACCCCTCAGCTCCACAAAACAAGACCGCGTGCGAGCAATTCCTAGGAAAGGGGCAGCTTCCTGCACATGCTGCCATACGCTGCCAAGCCAGAAGACTTCGTAGTGGTAAAGTTGCTTGGATGCTTTGAGAGTTTGATTTGTTTCCTTAAGCGCTCAACCCTAAGCCCTAAATACCAAACCAACCATAAATACAACCCTGCAAAGCCCTAAGGCGAAACCCTAAACCCTAAAGAGACCAAAGGTTGGACATCGACGGCGGGCCAGAGCTGTCTATCATGGAAGCCCTCATCCGCTACCCCGAGCTGAGCTCTCTGGTAGACGAGCGCCTTGGCTTTAGGGTTTAGGGTTTGGGGTTTGGGGTTGAGCATCTCAACTCAAAGCATTCACTAGTGTAGCTGGCGTGTCAACATGCGGAAACATTTTTTATTTTACATAGAATTCCTCAAGCCAACCTACATCCTCTTCAAAGAGCCTGAAGCCCAGTAGGCCCTAAACCCTATAGCCCAAGGGCTCTGCGTCAACTTCCCCCCCCCACCTTCGGCACTCCGGCTTGTTTAGTCCGCGAACCCTCGTATTGATTTTGCTTATTGTCCGCTGGCGAACACGAAGCAGAAGCACCCATGTGTCTTATGGCACCACGCGCCAGACTGCAGGTCACGCTTTGCTACCGGGCCCAAAAGCAAAATATTCCGTCCACGAAGCTTCGTGCTTCACTTTACTCAAGGCCCAAGATGTCCCTGAACCCTAAAGCCCAATAACCCTCAACCCTAAAGCCTTAGGCCCAGAAGGTCCTATTCCGTAAAGCCCAAGGCCCAGTAGGCCCAAAACCGTAAAGCCCAAACCCAGTAGACCCTAAACCTTCAAACCCCAAGGCGCAACAGGCCCAAATCTTGCACAATGCCCACAGAATCTTGCACAACGCCCATGAAATTTGCCCAATGCCCACGACATTTTGCACAATGCCCACGACACTTAGCCAATGCCCACGAAGTTTTGCACGCCCACGAAGTTTTGAACAAAACGCAATGCCCACGAGGTTTTGCACAACGCCCGTGACATTTTGCTCAATGCCCACGAATGACTTGAGGGTTTAAATATGTTTTGGTGAAGGAGGGGTTTGAGTGGCGAGGCAACCCTTAGCAGTTTAGGGTTTAGGGTTTAGGACCCTAAGGTTTCAAACCAGAGAATCTTGATCAGGCGTTGTTGGGGGGTAGGTCCTTGATCTGGTAGAACTGCCGCAATAGTTCCTGCCACTGGTATGGGCTTGACTTCAGAATTAGTCAGTTCATGATCCTTCCTGTACGTTATTTCTCCATGGTTTCCTGACTTGTGTGTTTTTCAGGCTACTTGGCCGTTTCCGAAGTTTGTCACATCCCGACCCTGTTGAAATACAACCTCCACGCAAAAGGACCCCATAAACTTCTAGAACTTCATTTCCGGACTTCTTCGTTGGTGAGAGTTCTTCGGGCGGAACCCTATGGCCCTTGCAAGCGTCCCGTCGAACTCTGGAGCCCTAAGCCCCAGACATTGGGGAGTCTTAAGCCCTAAGCCCTAAACCTACACCCGTGAAACCTACGGTAGCCTTGAACCCTAGAACTCCCAGAAAGCTAGGGTTCAGGCTTCATGGCACTAGCTAGACTCCCTCCTTCTCTCCTTGACCACTGCCTGCAAAAGCTGTGCAAGGAGAAGTGCGCTTGAAGTCCCCAAAGCCAAAAGCTGATTTCGATTTGTAAGGGCAAGAAGAAAGCGCGCGACATTGTCTAAACACATAAACTACATCGGGCTCAGTGTTCAGGGTTTAGGGTATGAAGTAAGGCATCTGCTTAATTACATGGTCTTGGGCTCTCTGGGCGGGGTTTCTGAGAAGCTGGTTGCGCTGCAGATTTGAATTCCCCACGAAAGGATCTTCTTTGAGTACCATTTCTGGTTCGACGGCGGCGACTTCGGCTGGGGCCAAGTGAACAAGGCTTGGGCCGTCCTGCTTCTTCGGTGTCTTGAACGCTCCTTAACGGATCCCCAAAGGGACTCCATGTAAGAGGGCCCCCCTATTCAGAAGCCTTAGGGAGCTAAAGGAGGTTGTAGGGAGGTCTTCGGGCGTCCGAAGCTGTGAGCCGCACCCTTAAAAGGAAAGGAACGTGGACACAGCATTGGACCTGCTGCTTGGCAGCCCCACTGGTAACTTTTCGCCCTTCTTGCCTTCTAGCTTCCCTTCTAAAAAGTCCCCCCCCCCCCCTCCCCCCCAAAAAATAGGTAAGTGTTGTTTTGTTCCCCATCCTCGGTGTGGGGTTGTTAGATTGTAAACCAAACCTCTTCTCCTGCTTCAGGGCAGCCCCGGAGCATTCTCCCAGAATGCCAACCCCAGAGTATCCCCAGACAACCCCTGGAGTGCCCAAACCCGAGAGCGTCCCCAACCACAGAGTATCCCCCAGGAGTGCCCCACGCAGAGAATCCCCCACGAGTGCCCAACCGCAGAGTATCCCCATTAAGGCCACAAATTCCAAACCTGTAGGGTGGGGATGTTCGAAGTAAAAACATTCGTTTTTAAAATATAGTGTCTGGGATACCAAGGATGAAGAGGCTGCGCCAGGCAGGCATCCGGTCACACTTCTGGATCTAAAGCGGCGGCGCTGTCGGAGGCAGGCGGCAGCAGTCGAAAATGATTCCTAAACCCTAAGCCCTCTCTGTCCTACATTTTAATAAATGAATAAATACATAAAAACAAATAAATAAACATATGTGTAGATGTATATATAAACCCTGTTAACCCGCTCTATCTTGTATGTATATATATATATACACACACATATATATATATATTTATTTATGTATTGTGGGACAGCCCTTTTTGCGACTTCTCCGGGTCGAGCTCTGAAACAGTCCTTACGCGCGCCCGCGTCCGGCTGGACCGCAAGGCAGCAACCTGAAGGCTACTGCGCTACGGAAAACAACCGTGCGCAAAGGCACAAGCTACTCAAGGGACTTGAGAGCCAAAATATTGGCCTTCGAACAATCATCCGAACGTGCAAGGAAAACGAAAGCTGCACCAGTACTGCGCATGACGGCCATCGACGGCTGGGAAGGTGGCGGAGAGGACTGGCCCCATGCCTACCGAACGTGCCCGATGGCGGATGACCAGGCATTGGGCTGCGTGGTCGCTTTCTGGCATGAGGACTGGGTGGAGCCAGCATACCAGGTCTACTCCGGTCTCCTCCGGTCTCCTCTTTGGTCTCCCCCTTGCAGTGACCTCGTTCAATCGTTACAGTCGGTTCGTAGAGGCAGCAGGGTGACGCTTGCTATGGCTACTGGTTTCCCTCTACTTCGACGACAGCCACGTGACAGACTGGGCGTCTTCAAAGGGCTCATCACCCTGAACGGCGTGCGGATTGGTTCCGTCAGCGCCGCGGATTTTGGTACATTGACAATGTGGCCGCGCTCATGGCATTGATTCGTGGCCGATCAGCGTCGCGCGAGTTGGAGCGCTTGGCGGCCCTTATCCACACAGCCTTATTCGCTTTGGAGGCCTCTCTGTTTTGGGAGTATGTGCGCTCCAAGAGTAACCGGGCCGATGCTGTATCCCGTCTTGGCTTCAGGACCCATGGCTTCAGCGCAACAGCTTCACATGTTACCATGCTTTTTTTCCATCGCTTCTTTGACCTCTCCCATTTCCCGGCTCTCATCCTTGTTTTCCAGTTTTTGTGAAGTGCTTTGGGAACGTACCTGAGTGCATTGGATGGCTCCGCGGGTTTCGTGGCGGGAACACGACGACCTGTGTAAGGTCGGGAGGAGGGACCTCCAACCACGTTTGGCAAGGACGCGTGATTCCTCTGTGAGGTGTTCCCAAAGAACCTGCTTCGGTAGGTTGCCCTATCGACCCGGATGGTTCGGGAGCTTGACTTATCGCGGGCGAGCGAAGGAGAACGAGAATAGCATCGAGCAGAGTGCTGGTATATATATATATATACATTAATATGTACATATATATATATACACATAATATTTTTTACGTTTCGAACAATCGGGCACCAACCCTGTTCCCTCCGGGCCCAGGGCCTAGGGTTTAGGGTTCAGGGCCTAGGGCGCAGGGTTTAGAGGGCCTAGGGTCTAAGCTTTAGGCACAAGTGTGCTTAGAGGCTCTTGGAACCTTTGGATTTAGGGTAAGAGGCTCAGGGGTGTAGAGTTTAGTTTAGGGGTTTGAGGCCGGGTATTTGAGCTTGGCGTCGCAGGGTTTAGATTCTGGAACTTGAACCAGGTTCCTGGTGGCCCAGAGCTTGTCTGAGAATTCACATATGCCGACGGAGCCAAAGTGACCAAAAAGGCTCGGCGCGAATGCGGAATTGAACCCTAAAACTTGGCCCTAAACTCCTCAACTTGTTAAATCCAGAACCCAAAA